TAGGATGTTTAATCTTATCAAAATCATCTGTTTGTGTCCAATTGTAAGGGTGGCATTCATATTAAATATTTAATGCCTTTTTCTTTTTCAAATTCATTTAGTTACAAGCTTTTTTCTAAATCACTTTCTCCTGTATAAATTTTTTTTATTCATTTCTCAAAAAATTTCTTCTTACCAAAATTTGTTGTTATTCATCACCTAATACATTTGATTTTACCTCATTCTTCTAGGTTAACAAAATGGGTAATTTTCAAAATAAACAAAGAACACTCATTTTAATGATGATTTTTTGTTTAAGAATGCTTAGCAATTGCAATTGTATAAGTAATGGACAGAATCCTAAAATAGCAACATTTGTGTTTGGAGATTCATTAGTTGACGTGGGAAACAACAACTATCTTGTAAGTCTTAGTAGGGCGGATTATCCTCCTAACGGTATCGATTTCGGTATGCCGACGGGAAGATTTTGTAACGGAAAAACCATGCTTGACTTCCTAGGCAAGATTTAATTTAGTCTGTTATAAGCATTCATCAGTTTCTATTTTTGTAGGCTTCAAAAAAAAAAAAAAAGTTTTTATTTTCGTAAAACTAGGTCTGATCTCTTTCCTAAACCTTTTACAATTTTACACGAGCTTATAAACCAAGTTTGGTTCTAGTAATACCTCCAGTTATTACATGTAATATGAAATTGAAGTTTTATGTTAGGCCATGTTCACTTCACTTTAAAAAATAAATAATATTTGGTAAAAACAAGTTTAATTTAATAGAAAATAATTTCATTTCAATAAAAATCAATTTCTTTAAATAATTTGAATTCGGTAAATATAATTTAAGCAAAAATAATTCTCAGTTGACTTTAACAATATCCGTTTAGTAAAAGTAAGGTGAAATAAACCGGGCCTTATTCTATATTTTAAATAACAATTTTTTTGGTTTTATATTTTGAGTAAACATTTTATTTTTAGGGATATCTAACTATTTATATTTATACAGTAGCAAGTTAGCAACTAGCGAATTTTATTTAAGTCATTTTTATTTTTTTTTTGAGAGGTAAATCACTTCTAGTTAATTTGTTTGATGTTTGACTAAATATTATTTGTTATGGTGGTTTTAGCCGAAGAATTTGGTACAATAGCCAGCCCACCTTACTTGGCTCCATACGCAAAAGGGCCTTTGATTTTGCAAGGGATCAACTATGCCTCTGCTGGTTCGGGAATTCTCAACGAGACTGGCCAAATATATGTAAAACCCCTTTATTTATTTTTTATATTGTTTAGAGTTTTGACATATTCGATAGATAATTAATTAATTACTACTCCCTTCGTTTTTAAATTAAAATATTTTCACCCAAACTCACTTAAGTAGTACCTAGTGTACTAATGTGAGTAATGTTACCCATGTTATTAGATTGGGAGGATAAATTTTGACGCGCAACTCGATAACTTTGCAAACACAAAGAATGATATGATCTCCCTTATAGGAGCAGCTGCAACAGACGAACTTGTGAATAAAGCTCTTTTTGTAGTTAATTTTGGCTCCAATGATTTCATTGCCAACTACTTTGTTCCAGATTATATTAAAGAATTTTGGCAACCAAAGACACCACCTCCTCAAGATTTCATAGATTCCATGATATCAAAATTAAGACTACAACTTACGGTCAGATTCGTACCAAAATTAATATTTATACGTAGTATCATATATTCTTTTATGGGGGTCCATAAGAATTAGGTCACATGTTGATTTTTGGAACGGATTATGTACGCTAATATGAGTCAATGTGGTTTGGAACAGAGACTCTTCAATATGGGCGCTAGGAAAATAGTAGTTCCAAATGTTGGACCGATTGGGTGCACGCCTGCTGAGAGAGAATTTAACGGAAAATTGAAAAATTCTGATTGTGTTGCATTTCCTAATCAGATAGCTCAATCATATAATATTCAATTGAAGAACCTTCTTACAGAGTTAAGCAACAATCTTAAGGGATCAATATTCCTTTATGCTAATGCTTATCGCATTTTCAATGACATCGTCACTAATTACAAATCTTATGGTACGTTGTAAATTTACTTTTAATTTATGTTTAACTTTAACTTATATGTTCGAGTGTAGCATAAATTAGAACTCAAACATAAACTAACAACATTTTCTCTGCTATGTTATATATATACTCGAGTGTACTAGTATACTGTATAGTACAATAAGAGGTGTCAATTCGGTACATGTGTCGGGTTTGGTTAAGTTGGGTCGGGATGTATGTCCATCTCTAATTCTCTATTTCTAATGTTAGTTTGGTATGAAATGGAATGGAATGTGGCAGGTTTTGAAGTACCAGATACAGCATGTTGCACTGAGGGTGGACGTTACGGGCAAATAATTGTTTGCAATCCAACATCTACATATTGCAAAGATAGAACAAAGTACGTGTTTTGGGACTTGTTTCATCCAACTGAAGCTACTAATTCGATAATTATTAAACGTCTCCTTGATGGGGATATCAATGACATTTCACCTATGAACCTTCGCCAATTACTCAGCTTATAAAACCTCGATTAATCTACTACAAATATTACTCGTATATATATTGTGTGATACATTATTACATATAAGTGTATTAATGTTATCGATGTATATATTGGAGTGTTAATCAGTATCAATTCAAAAGACATTTTGAACTGTTAATAAGTAGAGTATCATTTAAAAGACGAGATGCAATTTTTTTTTTTGCAATTTGGCAATTCTAATTATTTAACTTTTTTATTTTTTATTTTGGTGCATACGAGGGGCAAGGCCCCGGGAAAAAAACACAACTTTATTAATTTACTCCGTATTTAACATTTTTTAAATAAAAATGATGTGAAACAATTCAATGACTAATTATGAACTATGTCTTCTTTGGGCTAATAAGAAGATTGATCTCGACTATATTCACAATTGTTATGCAACTAGAACAATAGAAGTGTCGTGCTAAAAGTATTAATGTTCAAGAACACACGTAGGGAGTGTTTGTTAGGTGCAAAATATTTTTCAGGAAAATAATTTTCTATTTTCTCAAATATTTTTCTTGTTTAATATTTTTCTCATTTGTGAAAATAAATTGTTGAAGATGGAAAACATTTGCCAAAAAAAGTATGATTACTTTTTTTTTCCCTCCTTATTCTTTCCTCCTATTTATCCTCACACTTCCACTATCAATGTCTTTTCTCTATAGTTCTCTTGCAAAGAAAAAAAAACTAATTTACAAATCCTTGAAAATATACTTCAAAATCGTTTCATATTCAATAATTTCATGAAAATTAAACCTTTCCTAAATTTCTAAAAAAAATCGTGAATGGCTTTGGACTTTTGGTTGACAACTTGGAAATAATACGACTATAAAATATCATGAGTTTTCACCTGTTGGCTTTCTATTATTCTATCCAAAAAATAGTTTATTAAAAAGTATCTCAAGTGACGGAAGCAGTGACAATATAATTCAAAAGCAACAACGATGAATTTATTACTTGCGAAAAAAAATAATTGATCACTCAAAAACAAACACTTTTTTTAAAAAAAAAAAAAAAAAAGTAGTACTCCACTTGTTTTCTCTGTTATTCCTTGGAGTCCAAGAAAATAAGACAGAGGATCATATTAGCTTCAATAATAATAAATCTATACTAATTTATTAAAAGGCGTTACTAACAACGATTCTGTGCCACGTAAACCACGCCACATCATCTACAAGGGGATTCACAACCAACCTCTTATAAGAAGGATGGTTGTTTAACCATATAAGCTAATTATTACTTATGTTATGAACATAAAAATAAATGTATATAATTGATAATTATATAAGGTCAATTTTTTTAAAAAAAAAAAAAGATTTAAAAATCAAATACATATAATTACAAGAAAAAATTAAAGTGGCAACCTGGTGCAACGTCCGGGCTACACACTAGTTGTACTTTGATATCTTTGTCACTTCGCCACAATAAGAAATTAAACGATTTCTCCATATTTATTTTTGTATTTGAAACAAAATAATTATATTCGTATTAATGTATATTTTTAAAATTTCCATTTTTTATACAGAGTATTTAAATGATCACATAATCGTCAAAAATGTACTACCTCCGTTACAGGTTATGTGCAACGATTTGACATGAAGCAAAGAGGGAAAATGTCTAATCGTTGTACATAACTTGTTACGGAAGTAGTACATTAGCAAACACGCACGACCAAAATGAATGAAATTACTCCGTGGCTTCGTGCTCATTTAAGTTAAAAAGTACTTCATCATTAATTCATTATTGTGCTATGTAAAATTCTTGCAGCTCCTAATTAATTCATTTTTGTATTGTGCTTAATCGGTCCTTGTGAATTTTTTTTTTTTTTTTTTTTTTTGTGCTTAGAGATCAGCCACAGGGGTGAGTGATGAGAATCGATCCCAAGATCTCTTGGAATCGGGAGGGGAGCTCTAACCACTTGAACTATCCCTCATTCTCGGGCCTTGTGAATTATGATAGTCTAATTCAGATAAATTGCTATATATATATATATATATATATATATATATATATATATATATATATATATATATATATATATATATATATATATATATATATATATATACACCCACAGTACACCTAAGAATATTGTCCGTTTATTTTGATGATTATTGATCATTTAATCATCAAATGAGCAAAAAAATTACCGGTGAATACACCATGCATGCATTCAAGTGTATATAATTATTTTCAACCTAGGTGTGCTGGTTTTTCAAGTGTTAGGGTAAAAGTGATTGTTTAAAAACTAAACATAGTGGAAAAACCGAAAAAGCAACACTTTATTGTTAGAATAATCACATATGGTCTTCTTCATTTCTTACTGTTTATTGTTAGATATACTCATCCTTGGAGTCCAAGAAAAGAAAATAAACGTAGTGGAAAAACCGAAAAAGCGGCAACACTTTATTTTTGTCACTTAATAGCAACCTTTGCAACCATATACAAGTATAATAGTATATAAATTAGATGTTCCAAGTGTATTACTCCTTAGCCAACCAAACCTTTACATTCTAAGTGTATTACCCTTATTAGCCAACCAATAAAACTAAATAAGATGTTTACTAATATGGGTGACCGAGAAGCACAATTAAGAGCATTTGATGAAACTAAATTAGGAGTTAAAGGAATTGTTGATGCTGGTGTCACTACCATTCCTTCCATCTTCATTCACCCAATTTCTAAACGACTATTACCTCAAAAAACAAGCACTTCTAATGATGCTAGGTTTCAATTTCCAATCATTGATCTTTGCGTGAGCGAAAATGATTTGGATCATAAGAATAAGGTTGTCGATAAGATTAGAGAAGCCTTAGAAACATGGGGATTTTTTCAAGTTATAAATCATGGGATTTCTGATGAAGTTATGGAGGATACATTGAAAGGTGTAAAAGGGTTTTTTGAGCTAGATGATGAGGTTAAGAAGGGTTATTATTCAAGAGATTATGCCAATAACAAGGTTGCTTATCATAGCAATACTGATCTTTACACCGGGCCTGCAACTAATTGGAGAGACACTATTGCTTGTACAATGGTTCCTAATCCTCCTCACCCCGATGAATTCCCTCCCCCTTGCAGGTTTGTCTCTTCTCATATCTCCTTCTTTGTATTCATAATTAGTTATCACATTGTTTCATCTTTTACGAAAATGGTAAGATATACAACGTAAAAATATCATTTATTATCGAAATATTGTATTATTATATTCCTTGAGTTTTTTCATCACTTTTAGAATAAAGGCACAATAAAAAAATTATAATTATAGACATTTTAATTATAACGTCATATATCATCATAAATTAAATGAAAATGCAGGGAGATAGTACCAAAGTATTCAAGTCAAGTGATGAAACTTGGAAAGGTGTTGTTTGGGCTATTATCAGAGTCACTTGGGCTGCAACAAACCAATTTATGTGACATTGGTTGTGCCGAAGGCCTAAACGTTGTGGGTCAATATTATCCGGCATGTCCACAACCCGAATTAACAATGGGTACTGCAAAACATGCTGATAGTGTCTTCTTAACTATTTTGTTACAAGATCAAATTGGTGGTCTCCAAGTTCTTCATCATGACCATTGGGTTGATGTTCCTCCTACTCCCGGAGCTTTAGTCATTAATATAGGAGATCACTTACAGGTAAACAAGTTGCAAATAATGCATACTACCTCCGTTACACATTATTTGTAACAGTTAGACATTTTTCCTCTCTACTTTATGTTAAATCGTTGTAAATAATATGTAACAGAGGTAGTATTTTGAGATAACAATCAATTGAGTTACGAATTTAATGTATAGCTTTTATTTTCAGTTGGTATCAAACGATAAATTCAAAAGTGTGGAACACAGAGTACTTGCTAACTACAAAGGACCAAGAGTATCGGTGGCTTCCTTTTTCACCACATTTTATCAAGAGACTTCTACAAAGTTTGGGCCCATCAAAGAACTATTATCAGAAGAAAATCCTCCAAAGTATCGTGAGATTACGGCGAAAGAGTATAATACCTACTTCTTGGAAAAAGGACTTGATGGCACCTCTCCCCTCTTACATTTCAGACTTTGATCTACATTAATTTAAGTTCGTGCAAGTAGTCCCTCTGTCCTTTAGAGAGGGATTGAGCATAGATTTCACTACATATATTTTAGTGAACCTTTTTTAATTTCAAAGTTCAATTAGTTTATTTAACTTGTTGGACATAGTTATGTTTAGTGGATAGTGTACCAGCTTAGTTAGCTTGGACTCATAGGACACCTAGGAGTTTGGTTGTGCAAACGTATACCTCCATATTAGCTTGTTGTTGGACAAACGTAGACCTATCATAGCCAATAGCATTCACCAAGTGGGTGCCTCCTCGAAACCATGGTGATGATGGCTGATAAATGCCCTAATTAATTGAAATGAAATTATTATTATCTTCTTAATTATACCTAATTAATGATATAAATAAATAAATAAAAAGTAATTAAACATACTCTTTGATAGTTGGTCAACCCTCGATCACATTCTATTGCCACCATTGATGTATAGTTTACGATAGCAATCAATCGAGTTACGAGCTTAATGCATAGTTTTTAATTTCAGTTGGTATCAAACGACACATTCAAAAGTGTGGAACATAGAGTACTTGCTAACTACAACGTACCAAGAATATTAGTGGCATCCTTTTTCACCACATTATATCAAGAGACTTCTACAAGGTTTGAGCCCATCAAAGAATCTATACTTAGTATTTAAAAACACAAATTACAAATCTATACTAAAGCACATGTCACCTAACTTTATATACTAAGCCACATGTCACCATAATCACTCATATGCGTCACCTAACTTAGGGTTTGTTATCTTACGTTGAAATTCAGTTCAGTTCAGTTCAGTTCAGCTCAGTTCAGTTCAGTTCAGTTCAGTTCAGCTCAGCTCAGTTCAGTTCATTTCAGTTCAACTCAGCTCCCACTTTCCTTCTCTTATAAAATATTCATTTCAATTCAGTTCAGTGTTCTGTTCAGTTCAGCTCAGCTCAGCTCAATTCAGTTCAGTTCAGTTCAGCTGAGTTCAGTCAATGAAAACATGCCCTTAATCCTTTCTTTTTAAATTTTCATTTTAATATAAAAACAAAATATATAAATAATGTTTGAGTCTTTAATATTTATGAATTCTAAAACTTACAAATTTAAGTAAGAAAATTGAGTGTTTCATGTTCAATATAATAAATTAAAGTTAAACTAATTAGTGTTAATTACATTAACAATAAAATAGTCTTTTCATCTCCTAAACTTAAATATACCTTACCAATGTATCATTTCATGCCCTACGTATACAATATCTATGTATATATACCTAACTAAATTCCACAACACCTGTTTCGGGGTTTTTTGATGTGTCCTGCGGGAGAGTTACAATTCCAAGAATGCCCTTCGACGCCTGTGCCTGCAAAATCACGAAGACTCCTGGGGGTAGGAGCTCCGCCTCCGACGATCAAGTTAGTAAAGATACGGGAGGTAGAATGCATGTAATGTAGAAGTTACTTCTCGCGTAATGGGAGAATTCTGCAATTAATATTGCTCGGGGTAAGTGTTTTTATTTTTGAGGAGTATTCAAGGTGAACAACAAATGTTCCAGCCCCCATTAATGAGGGTCCTTCCACTATTTATAGTGGGGAAGGGATGGTTTCCCTTTTAGGGTTTAGAGGACACGTGTCAGCAGAGGATTGGAGCCCTGCTGACCAACGGCTGGATGCCACGTGTCACTAGGCCATTGGGCCACGTGTTTAGGGTATTTTTACCCCAAACATTTGCCCCTCACTGGTGCTGACGTGGCAGGGTGCCACGTGGCGCCGGTGAAAGGTTTTTTTTTTTTTTTTTTTTTTTTTACAACTCTTCAGATTCTTTTTGAAGGATGGAAAAGCAGAAGGTGAAGAGTCACGACTTTTCACCTTCTGGGACAAATTCTATAAATAGGAGAAGATGTCCCCCGAGCTCTCATTTACAAACTTTGCCAAATTTCTGAAAATTTGAGAGCAGCCGGCAATTTGAGAGTTGAGAGCATTCGGAGTTGAGATTCGTTGAGAGCAACCGGTCTACAGACCGTCTGGGTCGTTGCAAGCTAGCCAAAGATTTTCGAGAGGGTAATCAGAGAAACCCAGCCGGATTTTGAACCGCCTGCGTCTTCTCAAGCATCCCAAAGAATTTCCAGATTTTCTTCTAGGTACCGTCTCTATTCTTTCTAGATTTTTCATGTATTTCCGTTTGAGTCTTTTACTCGCATTTTTGTTCATTGGTCCCATAAGTAGATGGACCCCTTATACCCATACCCGGAACCTAGCTGTGAACTCAGCCGGTTTATTAGTACGGCTGAGTCTAGAACTGGGTCTGCCGACTCTGTTCTTTGGGACAACCCTTTTTCAACACCCATATCGACCGACTCTGTGTCTGTGCAGGACACAATGGCCAGAATCCGGTCTACTGCCAGAGATCCCAACTACAGAAGTGGGAGCTCAAATGAGCAGCCGCCTGAGGTCCCAGCTTCAGGCGGTGAAGTAGAGCAAGGAGAGGTAGAGCAGAGAGGCTCACCCGGGGGCGCTCCTAGCACCCCGGGTGATAGCATTTTAAACGAAGAGACTGCTCCCCTCCAGGAGACCAGAGAGCAGGTAGGCTCTGATAAGGAGGTCTCCAACTCCCCAGCCGGCTCTGATGCCGGTCACGTTCAACGTAGCAGTAGCAGCTACTTAACCGAATCTGAGGATAGCGAGGAGGCGGAGAGGCCTTCTTGGGATAATAGGAACGATCCTCTCATGATCGCCGTCTCCTCTAAGGACCGCGAGTTCATGCGGGCTGCGCTGCCAGATTTTATCAAACGGCGGCCGCTGGGGGGTGACTATACAATAAAAATCTCGGCTGCTTTGGGAACAATATGGTGGGAGGATGGACAACCAAACGCGAACGCTTGGTTCGGGTGCTACGAGGCGGCCTTCGTGGCCGGAGTCCGCTTCCCTCTCCACGATACAATAAAAGCCATACTTAGGGGGTATGGCCTAGGTCTCTGGCAATTAACCCCCAACTCATGGGTAAATATTTTAGGGTATATCGCCGCCTGCGAGATGCAGGGCCTCAACCCCGGCTGGGAGGCGTTTGCCCACATGCATTACTTGAGTAGGAGCCCAGGCGGCTGGAGAGCCTGGTATACCTTGACCACCCAGCCCAAATACCTTATGACCTTGGACAAGCCATCCAAATGGTCGGACTGGAAGCACCGGTTCTACTTGGTTAAGGCCCCAACTACGGCAGAGAACAGAGAATTCCGGATCTACAACTGGAAACCAGAACTCTTGGGGACCAAGTGCTGCCTGCCCCCTGTCCCGGAGGATGATAGAGAGACCATCCTTGACTCCGGGTTTTTTGAGTTAGTTCCTGACACCCTCTCATCCGGAGAGATAGTAAGGGTACCTAGAAACTGGGTGCCCAAACATGAATTTTTTAGGGACGAATGCTTCTTGTCCGCTTGTGGTCTAAGCAGCATGTTTAAAAACGTATGTATTCGGAACTCAGCCGGTTTCTTTCGAACCGGATGCTTTTATTTCCTTGCTTATTTATTATTCTAACCGTGTGCCTTCCTCTGCAGAAGAAGCCAAGAAAATGCTGCCCACCGAGAAGACACCGGCTAGGTCGGCTGCCGACATCCGGAAAGCCAATCTCGAGAAAAAACTTGCTGCCCAGGCGGCGAGGAAGGTATAACCGTCTGATCCTTCTCGTTTATTTCAATCCTTTTATCCCATAACTTATATTTTTCTCGTTTATAGGACGGGAAGCAGATGCCCCGGTCAGGTCCCTTCAAAAACAGGTCAGGCCTCCGCCGACCCAACAAGAGTCTACATCCAAGGTGCAGAAGACAGCCGACCGGCAAACTACCGGCGGCAAATCAATAAAGGTCCCAGGCGGGCCTGGATCTGCGGATGTGCTTTCTGCCATCCCATTGAGGACCGCAACCGGTCCCTCTGAAGGCCGTTCGGGCCGCCAAGGTAACTTCGACCTTACACTGCTTGACCTGCCCATGCGGGTCAAGTCTTATTCACAGTCTCGATCGCAGCCGGGGGATTCTCCAATCAGCCGGCAATCTATAGGCAGAGCATATGCGAGTTTCTCACCGTCTGTTTCTGGTGCAGACAATTCTCCCCGCTGGCCGGACGGGGCACAATATGCCCGGGCCATGCTTAAAGCCGTCCCCAGGGACGAGAAGGAGGCGATCCCTGGGATCAACTCCTTTAATGCCGACCGGGTGCTGGTCGACCTGGCCGACGTATGCTCCAACAACCATGCGGTAATTTTCTTGACGTGCATTTTTAAATATGCAGTATTAACCGGCTGTATTTTTGCAGGCTATGCTGCGCGTAGAGGGGCTCAAACGAGCTTATACCCGCAAGTCTGAAGAGGTAAGGAGAAGCAAACGGGCTGTTGATGACGCCCATAATGTTGCTGACTACTCTTTGTACATGCATGGCTTAGAATCTAAATCTATACGCATGGAACAGGCGGAGAAGACCAAGGCCCTCCAACAGCAGATTGATCAGCTGAAAAACCAAGTTGACCAACTGCAGGCGTCCCTGGATGATGCCAATAAAAAGTTGGAGGAACAGAAAGAGCCCCTCCAACGGCTGAGCAAGGCGGAGACTGAAAATGGTCGCCTTGCCAAAGAGAATGAGCGCCTGCGCAAAGAGGCGGCTGCTGCCAATGAGAACTTCAAGGCCACCTTGGAGTCGGAGCAGGAGAGGCTCATTGAAGAGAATGAGCATGACTGTGCAAACCGGATGCAACGGGCGTTTTCCCTCATCCACCCGGAGGCAGACTTCACCGTCTGGGAACTCGCCTTCAAATATTCTGATCTTGCCATTCTGGCCGAGGAGGCGAATGAGCCGGGGCCCGGACCCTATGACGCTTGGGTTAGGGAGGAGATTGCGCGACGGCAGGCGGAGGCTGCTGAAGAGGAAGAAGTTGTTCCTGAAGCCGACGCAGCCGCTCACCCTGATCCAACCCAGAACCAACCGGAAGAGGACCGGTTCACTGTTCGCCTGGAGTAGCAACTACTTCCCGGCCTGCGCGCCTTGCATTATCTTGTAATAGCATCGGATGAGATGGGCTAAGCTGTAATAATTTTTATTTTGAATATTAACATTTTCACCGGCTGAGCCGGCTTTTGAATGCTTTTTATGTTTCTGCACTTCAATACTAAAATTCTTGTTATTTTTTATACATATTTCTGCGAGGATAACCAAAAGAACCCCGCCGGTAACACTACCGCTTGGGTGTTCGCAAACAGCAAAGAAATTTGCAAAGGTTGCCAAGAGGACCCCACCGGTAACACTGCCGTCTGGGTCTTCGCAAACTAGGCGAAGAAATTTACTAGGGTTGCCAAGAAGACCCCACCGGTAACACTGCCGTCTG